GCTGGTTACCCATCACCAAAATGACACAGCAATAACCACAGCTGACATGGGCATGATACAGTCAAGAACATCCTTTTATTCAATCAAGTAAAGGTGTTGCTCTTTTCAAACTGTTTTTTATTATTATTATGGAAAAGAAACTGTAATTAACACATGCATTTCACCATGGGCTCTGGGAGGTGTGTCTGAGGGGTGGACGCTGCTCTAAGGGGAGGAGGAGGAAGAGGAGGAGGAGGGGCACTCATTGTGGGAGGGGGTACAGGCCAGAGACGAGGGGATAGGCCGGCCAGGGGCCTCAGTCTACACATCGCTAAACACGGCCCAGCGTCCTACAAAACGTGTTAAAAACAAACAAAGGAAAAAAAAAAAAAAAAAAAAAAAAAAAAGGGCGGATGGTTCGGCCACAGGGTCCGACTGGGCTCTTTGAACAGTGCAGGGGCAGGTACTGAGGCACCCTCCCTCAACAAACCCCACACACACACACAGACACACACACGCACAGACACGCACACGCACGCACACACACGCACGCACGCGCGCACGCACACACACACACACACACACACACACACACACACACACACACACACACACACACACTCTCTCACACACACACGCACGCACACACACACGCACACACACACACACACACACTGCTCCATGCAACCTGTTCCTCTCTGATATGGCTTCTCAACTGTGGCGCTTTCACTTGTCAAGGCTAGATTGATAATACTGCTGCTGGCTTCATTTGCTTGATGAAGAAAAATAAAAAGTTGCATATATTTAATTACTTTTAGTTGTATTTTTTTTTTTCAGGAACACAAAAAAAAAAAAAAAAAAAAAAAAAATTCTGTAATCACTTGATTTTGCTGGTGGAATTTCAAGGTGCTTTCTCCATAAGTCACCAAGGTCTACTCGCTTTACAGCTTTTGGAACCATATCACTTTGGTCAATGGTGGTGAATCAATACAACATTTTGAAACAAAGCGTACATTTCTAGTGATTGTGCTAAATCTGAGCCTCTCAGTCTCCGTGCTGTGGAACCGGTCCGCTTTATAAGGTGCTTGGAGTTATTTTTCAGTTTAATTTTTTTTTTCCTTTTTTTTTTTTTTTTTTTTTTTTTTTATTTTTTTTTTTTTTTAAATAGCTGGTCTCATTCAACCACTAGAAAGGTGCATAATTGAAGGTCTCGACGCAGCATCTTACCGCTGCCTAAGATATGCAGTAACAATGACAAAAAGTAATCAAAAAGCAAATCCAAATTCAATTATAAAAAAAATAAATAGATAGAAACAAGGATTACAAACAAACCTGCCTATACTAGCAGTCCTACTGGTCATCTCCCTCGCCAAAGACCAAAACCAAAAAGTTCCCATGAGTGCTTTCATCCCTCCACTCGGGTTCATATGTCGTTGATCGCTCCCAGGGGGGAAAACTGTTTCTTTGCCCTATAACCCAGCCCCTGTCCTCAGCACAGCCCAGAGCCCCGTGGTGTAACTTGTTCACTTACATTAGCTGTTGAATGGAGAAGCTGAAGAAGATGGGTATGGTAATACAATGTGAAGCATACAGACAAGAATAACATGTGAGCTAACTGCATTCTGCTCAGACAAAAAAATCTTTGCGTATTCTTTTTTTTTTTTTTTTTTTTTTTTTTTTTTTGATTTTTTTTTTTTTAAACCCCGCCGTTCAGAGAAAGGGAGAAAGGAGAAAAGGAGGGAGGGGAGGAAGGAGAAGGTTACGCAGCTACAGACTACTCCAGTGTCCAAGATAGACAGAAGACAAGATACAGAGGAAGAGAAGCAAGACAGAAAATATCTTTTTTTTTTTTGTCTTTTTTTCAGCTTTTCTTAATTATTCAACAATAAAAAGAGGAACTAAATCACACCAATTTCCTTTAGTACTATGTATACTGCTTTAAAAAGCTTGAAGAAGAGGAAGAGAAAGATATAGAAGTGTGAAGGAGGGGACTTTTTTTTCTTTTGAGATGGGCACTCAGGATTACAAGATGGAATCTGTGAACAAAAGGCACTTTTTAGGGACAACCTTTAAGATGCTCTGAGTCTATAACACTACATCACCAAACAAATATTTATAATCATTTACAGTGGGAGATGGGGATTCGGAGGAGGGGGGGGGGATTGGAGGAATTGTGAGAGGGGGTAGGGGGCGTGGGGGTGGGGGGGTGGGGCTCACATTCTTATTGAACTGACAGCATCCCTCTGAGGTTGCCAATTCCCTCTCGCCAAACCAACCGGACATTGACACCAAATAAAAAATAAAAATAAATTTTCACCAGACATCATCACTCATGATTTTTGTTGTTGTTTTGTTTTTCTTGGAAACGGGAATCCATATTTGTGCATCTCCCAAATTGGGGAAGATCTTGTCTTTGTCCCACATTAGGTTCACTTGTGTTGGATACAAGATGGAACAGTCTGGAAAGAGATGTTTTCTTTTTTTTACCCTGCGACTGTTCCTCTGCTGTGGTGTAAAGGTTGGGGGGGAAAAATGCCTTTTGTCACAACAACCTTTTCGTACAATGAACCCCTCCCCCCTCAGTAAATACAAAAAGAGAAATAGAATAATGCATGTTTTCCTAAAATTTGCTTTTATGATAACACTTAATTTTTCGTTTATTATTATTTATGTATAATAGAGATTGAATGTACTTTATTCTTTACGAAAGCACCAGTTTTCATAGTGATATATATTTTATGAGTTGCAAAATTGTTCCTTCAGCCCTCCCACATTGTGAAAACAAATCATTAGAAATGAATTTTTTCTTTAAAAAAAGGAAAAAAAACAACAAAAAAAAAAACAAAAGGAAAATTAAAAACAGTTTCCTCAAACTTACTTACAAAGACTGGGATTTTTTTCTCAACGCCCTCATATTTAGAGTCCTAGAGCACATGGACTTGAAAAACAAAAAACAAAAGAAAAAAAAAACCTAGAGGGTTTTCCCTCTTTTCTCGTGACACCCTCAAACAATTGCTAACAAACAAACACAATTCCTCTACCAAGGCATTGCACATGGCTCAATCGACATACATCATTTAGTTTCAAGAACAATACTTCCCATCAAAACAAGAAAGAAAACAACAAAACCTAATCTGTTCTTTTTTTTTTTTTAAATCCTCAACTACATTTTCATCACTGTCTATGTATCTATTGTTGTGATTTGCCATGGATTTCCTTTTTCTGTCATTTAATGCGAGTATGGGTTTAGAGACTGGTACTTTAGCTCAAATCAGCAGTTTTTGAGATGCATCCTATGACTGTGCGATGTACGCCATGCTTCAAAAAATAACTAGACTGCCACAGAGCTTATCTTGCAAATAAAAAAAATGTATATATCTATAAATATATATGTGTATTATATATAAAGATGCTTGCGATTATCTAGTGAGCTGTCACCGTTTTTTTTTTTTCTCCTCTCCTGACATAAATTTTTCACCATTCACTATAGCTTATATGTGAGAAAAAGAACCTGAATTCATGTTTGACAAATTGCATAATGGGAATACAGAGGCACTTCCATAGATTAGAAAAGAAATCACCTTAGCCATCATTAACGTCTTACTCAGCGGAGCTAGTTCTCTCTACGAAGCTGATGAGATGGTCGCCAGTCGTTGGCCAACTATGTTGTGTTTCCCTGCAGTGAAGAACATGGCCAGGCAGTCCAGTTATTTTGTGAGGTTGGATGGATGATTTGAATTCAACTTTTAACAGGAAATAACTGAATCAGTCTGAAAGTGGGCTAATGATACAAAATGATTAAAAGCATAAAGGCCTCCTCAGATTGTCTATATTTAAGACTTCCCTTTGAATTCAGTCGGGCACTGGGGATGTGTTTGCGTTAATAGTGAGTGGACTTTTTAAGTCTGTGTATTCAAGAAGTGGCGATCTGTGCTCTACAGGTGTGTTTCTATCCCAGTAATACATCCACTGATTTGGAATACTAAGTGGTGGTCGATCTACTGTAATTCTCACAAAAAACAAACTCACAAGGTTGGCTGGCATGATTGTTTTAGTGCAGTTTTGATCATTAGGGGCTCATCGATTTCACAATACCTCAGGGGAGTGCTGGTGCATGTGTGTTTGTGTGTGTGTGTTTTGGGGGGATTACCATAGCAACCTATATCCTTTTACCTGACCCTGTGCACCTAAAAAAAATTGGGCACATGTGTGATCCTCCTACTGAAAACCCTCTCTGAAAAACAGCCAGATATGTCACATATTCATTTTGCTCCGCAGTGTGGCTCCCTCTGCTCTTGGAGCAGCGGCCCGTCTGGGAGTGTAAACAACAGGGTAAACTTTAGGGAGACAGAAAGAAGAGCTACTCTCTCTTATATTCTGGGTCCCATCTTCAGCAACCTTCCCTCCTCGATTCTGGTTTTCTATCACTCACATATGACCATCACCAGTCAGCAGCTGTACCTGGGTTAAATAGTAGAAGCTTTTTCTTGACCTGTATAGTTCAGCAGGTAGGTTCCCAGAAAATAGGCTTCCTGTGATTGTCAAAACTCTGCATTGTGTGGTCCTGCAGCACAGTATGTGGCAAATGGGTTTATCTGGCACTGAGAACAAACAAACCATGTTAAAGGAAAAGTTTGACATTTTGGAAAATACACACATTTGCTTTCTTGCTGAGAGGTAGATGAGAAGTTTGATACCACTCCTGTGCCTGTACGGTAAATATGAAGCTATAGCCAGTTGCCGGGTAGCTTAGCTTAGCATTATGACTCGAAACAGGCGTGAAACAGCTTCCCTGGCTCTGTCCAATGGTAACAAGGTGCTGTGGTGTGTCTTAATCCGTACAAAACCCAAAGTGTAAAAAAAAAACAATTTAGTGTGTCACAGGTTGTTGTTTTTAAACTTCAGGTTTTTGTACGGATTAAACAAACAAGAGGTGCTGGTTTTTGGATTTTGTTACTTTTGGACAGAGCAAGGCTAGCTGGTTTCCCCCAGTTTCGAGTCTTTATGCTAAGCTTGCTAGCTGTAGCTTCATATTTACCATACAGACACACAAGTAGTATCAATCTTCTCACGTAACTTTCGGTAGCAAAGCGAAAAAGTGTAATTCTCAAAGTATCCAACCTTTACTTTAAGTTTTTTGCAACTACTATTTGATCCGGGTTAGCTAACCACCCTGTCTATGCCGCTTAAACATCCCACTTCTTACTGTGTTTCTCTATAAGGTGCTGTCATTCAAATATAAAACAATTATAAAATAGTACAAATCCAAAAGGAATAAATTCAAATAAGAGAACACACAAGAGAACAAAATCATTCATCTACATTACAAGAGGGCAAAAAGGGGAATCAATAGCTGCTGTCTATAGTCATGAAAACTGTCAGCAATGATGTACACACTGATTTTCAGTGTGTGTGTTGGTTTAGATGTCTAATCAAATAGGTAGAGTTCACTGGGCTTTACTGTATGTGCGTATAAAATGAAAATATCATAACACAACACCACCACCTATAAATACTACAATCTAAAAGGTGAGACTGGGCAACTGTGTGTGTGTGTGTGTGTGTATTCAATTGTACATACATGCTGTGGTCATGGCACAGATTGTAGTGAGTGTGTGTTGTGTGGGGGGGAAATGTGAGAATGGGAGTGGAGGCCAATGATTTGTCGAACTGAACAATGGGGGTTGAGGACACGTGAAGGCTTCTTGTACCTTGATTTTTCCTCTTTAAAACTCTTGATAGGCAAGTCTGGTTTACCTCCCCATGCCTTGTAGGTAAATAGTGCACATCGTTAAGATTAGTGTTAATTGATTCAGCTTGTAGTGCAACCCTTAATCAAGAAATGTTTTGGCATGGTCTCTCTCTAGTTAGTAGTAAGGTACAAAGGGGGCTTTATAGAGTCAATGGTCATTCAAAGAGAGAGAAAAACGTTGGTCAATTTGATTTTGTTTTGGGTGATGACAGACATAACAGGAGCATGGACTGCAGCTTTCATTGGAGACCTAATTGTGTCTTTGCTTTGAGCAGGTAGTGGATTCATGGTTGGGTGTGGCTTTGTAGGTTAAACATTTCATCTGGAAAATCTGATTCTGTTGGACAGTTGATTTTCTTTGCCATTCATTAAACAATGCGTCCTCACGAAGTAGGAGAAGCTGACCACTTTTTCATCCTCAGGTTCCTCCTGCGTTGCCGCTGTGTTGTGCTGGTTCGGTGGTTTTTTCAGGAGAGATGCCTGCTTGGTGCTGTTTGTCCTCTTACTCCTTCTCTATCCTGGCATCCTCTTGTCCATCCATTCATCTTTCCATCTATCCATCTTTGCTTAAAACGGGTCCTCCCTCTGACTGGGTAAATGAGTCCAGAGTTCCTCTAAAAGTGTCATGCTGCTGCAATTTCCTGTGTTGCTTGGTTATATTTTGTATCAGGTGAGACATACTGTCAGGGTCGGTCGGTGGGTTGGTTGGAGGACAATTGTTATCCTGTGGGTTGTTTCTCTGTTTTTTCTATTTCCGATTGTAAAGAAAGAATTCTAGTTGCTGGTTTGTACACAGATCTTGTCAGAGGAACCAAGACTGAAAAAGAAAGAGAGGGAAGGGGGGTGTGAGGGATAAGATCATGTTAATGTCAAAACAAGAAAGATTTGGCGGGCAAGATAACAAAAACACCTTTGGATATAACTAAACAGCCAACTGCAATTTGGTGATTTTAAAGACAATGTGACTGGCAGTTGGAGCAAAGCTTGAACGGATGTGAAACTCTCTTGGGTGAATCATCAATACAGAAGATGACCAATCATGTTGGAAAATATCAGGCTCTTTGATAAAAAGTCATAGTATAGAGACGTTAACTACAACTCTCAAGTGAAGATTCTAGGTTCATCCAGGTCATGGTATCTCTGAGAGCTTTACGATGGCAACGTGACTTGCTTGAGGTTCTAGAGGACGTTCTACCTCTGATCCGAAAAGGTTCATTCACAACTGAGGATGAACTGAAGAAGCCTTGAAATGTCTTTAAGAACCTGAACCAAGTCGCCAGTTGCCTTTGTAAAGCTGTAAGAGATATAACTCGCCTCTGACAGGCTTCTTTTACATTGGTCAAGGCTCCTGGATATAATAGTATTTAGTTTATTTCTAGAGATATTCTGATTTATGTACCTAATAATTTTGACCATGACTGTAGGCCTGCATACAGTGAGCGACAGAAGAGTCATCTGGGCCATAACCATCAATCCTGCCCATTTCTGGAGTGAACTACAATATGTCTTGAATTTAGCCAAGCACTGAATGGCCACTAATGGCCAAGCAGCAGCAGGGGAATGGGCAGTCTTGACGCTCCCCGTCACTTGTGCCATCTTCACGTTGGGTTTCTCCCACTCAGCATGAGCAGGGAGCAGGAGTGGGTCACCGTCGCTGTTGTTGGCTGCCCCGCTTGGCCCGCAGGATCTGGCACTGCGGGCTGGTGCGCCAACATTCTAGAAGTCAGGCCTTGGAAACTACGCTGAGCCTCCAGGGAAGCAGCCTTTTGTTTTGTTTGACTCTAACAGGTCGCATGAATACCCCCCTTCTGCCTCTTGCCCTTCTCAGCTACCCTACTCCCCTGGGCACTGTCCCAGCAGGCCTAGGGCATTGTAACTTCTCCCTTCTTAGTTACTCTCTCTCCTTCTGTGTATGCTCTTACAAACACACACACACACACACACACAGATACACACAATCCATCTATCTCCCGTGAACACTCCCACTAAATCCTTGGCAGCAGACAGTGACCACCCTCTTTTCTTTCCTGCGCCCCCCCCACCCCCACCCTTGCCCCCTCTCAAGCAACCCCTTCTCAAATTCAAGATCAACTGGCTATGACATCATGTCTGGTTGCCGGGGGTAACCAGACGGCCAGGACGTGACTTCTATAAGGGCCGAAACTCTGATGCTCTGTTCCCTCCATTTCTTGTTTCTCTGTACTGTTGGTATCTTGTTTCCCTGATCCTCTGGTTGCAGTGCCTCACTTTCGCCACTGGGGGGCACATGGAGCCCACTATTGTCAGTGTGAGAGGTTCTCCAGCCTATCCTATAGTCACCACATACTCACTTCTGACATGCTCTTTGTTTAGCAATTTATCTTTTTTTTTTTTTTTTTTTCAGTGGATCATTAATCTTTTAGTGTCGTACTTTGACAGGCACATCTAAACAATTAATGTTGTGTGTTTGGAAAAGTAAAACCATACTTCAGATACTGTGTCCCTGAGTTTCGAGCTTCAATTAGCTTTTTAATAAAAAAAAAACATCAAGACACGCTACATGGCCAAAAGTATGTAGATACCCTGTCCATATGCTTTGATTTACTTTTGGTTTTGGGCTGTTTTTATGGTTTGTTTCAATGGAGGGAAATCTTTTGTCTCTTGCAATCTTTCTTATTGTATTCTACAGCATACAATAACATTTTAGTGTCTGTAACTTTGTGGCAACTGTTTGGAGAAGATCATTCCCTGTTTCAACATGACAATGCCCCTGTGCAAAAACGCAGGGTCCATAAAGAAATGATCAACCCAGTTTGGTGTGGAAGAATCTGAGTGGCTTGCACAGAGCCCTAACCTCAACACCATTCAGCACCACTGGGATACAGGGGAAGACTGACTGCAAGCCAGGTTTTATCGCTCTAAATCAGTGCCCAACCTCAATATAATGCTCATGTGGCTGAATGGGAGCAAATCCCTGCTGCCAGGTTCAGAAATCTGGTGGAAAACCTTCCCAGAGGAGTGGAAGCTGTCGTAACAGCAGTTTAATGCCCATAGGTTTGGCTTGATGTGTTCAACAATCACTTATGGATGTAATGTCTGGGTGTCCACATACTCTTGAACATTCAGTGTGGAAAAAAATACCAGGGTGAACAAAAGAAACAACTCAGAGTTGGTAGGTTATATAGAGTAAAGTAACATTAGTAGAAGATGAAGAAGAAGAAAAACGGACCGTGGGGATGGCAGATAAAAACTGGAGATAAAAACTGAAATGAAGAAGGGGAAGGGGAATAAAGAGTGGAGTATAATGAGCGCAGGGGCAGAAAAGATCAGGAATGGGGGAAATGGAAAGGGAGGAAAAGTGAGAGAACGGAGGGCAGAGAAACAAGGGAGGGGATCAGCAGAGCACTTTCAGATGGTTTCCATGTGTCGAGGAGCAGAGCTGAGCTGGCTCCAGGCGGGTGTGGTTGGACACTAATGAGAAAAGTACTGGTGGTAATGGAGGAGGCATATGAACGAAGCACAGAGCAGTGAAGGGAAGGAACGAATAAGGTGAAAGAGAGAAACAGTAAAAGGCCGAGGCAGAGAAAATGAATAAGGGGGAGAGGAGAGAGAAGAGTAGGATAAAGCTAAAAGAGTCAGAAAGTGAAGTGGGAGGTGTGGGGTGGGTTGGCAAAAAGAGTGGAAGGAAAGGTAGCAAGGAGAGGGAGCGAAGAAGGCAGCGAGGGAGAAGTCCTGGTGTCTGAAGGGTAGGCTCCATATGTGCCAAATAAACAGTTGAGCACATATGGTAAACCACACACGTACAGTAAAATACAGATGTACAAATGCACACACTGACGGTGCGCTGTGGGATGGTGTGAGAGAGGTGGAGGAAACCCAACAGCAGGTTTCAGTGAGAGTGAGGGAATAAGAAATATTTTGGCGTACATCCACACAGTTAATAAGTTTCCTGAGTTTTGACTGGTAATCGTAGTCAAAACAGACGAGTTTGTCAGTACTGTACTGTCAGTATATCCCCAAACTCCTACCTGTGTCTGCTGCGGGATGTTCAGAAAGTTGTTGTCCCGTGATCCGATGCCGACAAACCTGTTGGGAGCTGTGGCGCCTGGCGTGGAGTATGCTACGGAAACAGAGGAACAACAAAATAGACATCAGTCCACAGAGAGACAATCACCACTGCAACTTCCTGTACAATCTTACAGGAAAGAGACATTGTGATAATACACTTATTCACTTTCTTGCCAAGAGTAGGATAAGAGGACTGATACCACTCTTGTATTTATCTCAATATGAAGCTAGTGCTAGCAACCTGCTAGCTTAGTACAAAGCTAGGCTAGTTCTTTCCAACAGTAACAATATCCACCTAACAGCACCTCTAAAACTCATATATTAACATGATCTCACTATAAAAACCCAAGTGTAAAAATGACAACACTCTGGGAAGTGACTGGGCCTGGTCAAGAAACAGTCTGGCACATAACTTCCCCATAAAACCACAACATGTTATTTTTGCACATTTTTTGTTTTTGTACAAATTAAACTATGTAATGTTTTAGTTACTGAGCATTAGAGATGCTGGTGGGCAGTTTTTGTTACCTTTGGACAGATTTAGGCTAGCTATTTCCCCCCTGTTTCCAATATATATGCAAAGCTAAGCTAACGTTTGCTAGCTGTAGCTTCATATTTACTGCACAGACGTGAGAGTGGTATCAATCTTCTCGTCAAACTCTTGGCAAGGAAGTGAACCAGTGTATTCCGCAAAATGTCAAACTATTGCTTTAAAATTTAACGACATACAGTAAACCTACTGTAGTTAAAACGTAAATAAATAAAGTAAATGCATTCATTTTAGATGAAAGTACAGCTGTATTCAGGTCATCAAAACTCCACAGCTAAGTTTGCCAAAATCTGGTAAGCAAACTTAGATCTCCCTGAATGATTAAGTCCCGCTGATATACTCAGTTGGAAGTGATTGAGCACACCCGAATCCTGACATTGAGTATCAGTCAGGGACATTTAAAACCCACTTGCATCAAAGTCTCTGACAAATTTAGGGCAGTTTGAGGCACCCTACGGACTCCATAATTTGAATCTCACTGAGGGATTCAGGATGCAGTGTGCAGACTTATGCATGTGTGAGTCTGTTTGTGTGGAGGAAAGGGAGAAAGGACAAGAAGAGGAGAGAGAGAGACAGAGAGAGATTTATGTGTATGGACATATACTGTATACATCCATGTGTTTCTAAGAATTGGAGTAACATACATAAGACATAGAAGACTTTGAGACGCTGACTGGGGGGTAAAACGAAAACACTACACTTGAAGGAAAGCTAAAAACAAAAAAAAAGTGCTCCATCCAGTGCCCCTCCTATCACAGGTGAGGAAGACAAACGTATTGTGAGAAAGCCCCACGGGTGGACTGACATCACTCCTTCACCTTAAATACACACCCTATTCTCCTTAACAAACATTAAACAAAACAAAAAAAATCCCACCAAGAAGATCAGCTCAACCAAAAACAAATTATTCCACCAATGTCCCAATTTGTACTGGAGTGTTTTGGAGTCCATATAAATTAACTGCCCTAAATTTGTGCCCTTCACGAGTAAGAATCAATTAATAATCAAAGCCTTCTCGAGTTTTTCCACAAGATTTGCTGATGAGTCCAGCGGGAGAAGAAAGGAGGATCTAGAGGGAGAAGAACTGGGGTGGTGATGCACCTTCCATTCCCGACAAAGCAGAATGAGCCACTGAAACTGACGGGGGCTTAATACAGAACCCTGATGAACACCACAGAAGTCCTTTATGACAGATATTTCCCACCAAACCTCTGGTGGCCTTGATCTACTCTACTGAGCTCCACAGTATATTCTGCGCTGGCTTCCATAGCCCTCCAAGTGGTTAAGGGAGGTGAGATGTTGGATACACAGGAACAATGATGGCACAAAGTTGGAGGAAGAACAATGGCAGGGGGCTTTTCTCTGGAGAGGGTTGGGATTTTCAGTTTTTTTTTGTTTTTTTTTTGCTGCTGGTTTGGTTTTGAGAACGGTCTCTGCGGGGTCACTTACACGGAGATGCGGGCGAGGAGAGTCCGCCGTCAGGGGGCGTGCTGTTGGGTTTAGAGTCGGGCATAGGGAGGGGCACTGGGCGGGCCACTGGGGGAGGTGGAGGCAGCAAGAAGGAGCCTGGCATTTTGCTCTGGCCGCTCCCGTTTGGCTGCAGACAACACAAATAGGGTCAGGAGGGCGACATGCGACAATCCGCAGACACGGAATGAAAAAAGAGGACGTAGCTCGGGAGGCCGAGTCCAAAAAAATATCCATGACGGAAGGGGGGGAGGCAATGGTGGAAGGAGGGAGAGGAGGTGGTGGGAAAAAACAACCAAAGGAATGATGTATGTGGACGGCATCTTTTATGGAGGTGTGAAAAATAATAATCACCACAGGGATTGATAGGAGTGGGAGCTGGAGCTGGAGGTGAGAGGTTCCACAAGAGTGGTCCGTGGTGAGTGGAGGAGGTGTGGAGGAGGGAAGTGAGCAAATTATTGACTGGGTTCGTCCAGAAGATGGCAAGAAATCAAAACCAATGGGAAAATACTTGTCTACACAAGCACAACACCACCAACGATACCAGCACCAAACAACCAAAAGTCCAAACTAAAATCGTAACAGCTAGAGATGAAGAGACAGAAACACGATGACACAACACAGGACGGGTATGCTTGACTGAAGTGTGCTGTGACTGATTCACTCTCGTGCTGATGGTTGTAACTTCTGAGGGGTTGGGTGGAGCAAAATAAAAAATAAAAAGGGGGAGGAGGGGGGAACGTCAGGGGCTGAAACAGCAAACGGCAAAATGACAGACAAGACAATACACAGATTTGTAGACCTGCTGCAAAAACCAATGTCTAGTGTGTTCGCTCGTGTTGCACTTGTAATGCTGTGGGGTGAATTTCTCTATAATTGTAGGTGGACATACACAGTACAATAAGCTTTTGGCAGACACTGTCTTTTGAACTAATGGCATTCATATAATTATAGTAATATTGCACTGTAGAGCAATGCAAACACGTGATCAGTATGATTTCAGATTTTGATATTTAAATTTTTACAAGCAATTAAATAGTTAAAAATAAAATCTACTGAATACTTAATGTTGAACTTTGAGTATGACTAAAAGCCATGTTTATGTGGTTTGAATTCCCTCTTAAATTTTGAGAAAAACAACTTAATTAAGTTATTAACATTAAGTTATTTTTAAGTTCACACAAATTCTATATTCTACATGTGTCCATAGATTCAAAAAACTCAATTCAGTTTGCTTAAATTCTGATCAAAAAAATTCTAGTCAAGTCAAAAGTCAAGTCGCTTTAAATTAGATTTATTACATTTAATTTAATTCAGACTTGAACATCAGACCTCGCTGTCCTATCAGGTCCAGTCAGTCACACGATCTCAGAAAGTACAGTTCATATTAGTGACTGGAAACCTTGGACACTAGAATTTAAGAACGTGCATTTTTTTAAAAAAAATTTCGATTTCACCACTTGAAAAAATCAAAGAGGAGAATTCACAGCCACATAAAATCAGATTTTAAAAAAGTAAAATGTCTCAGTGCTATAAATTCAGTGGTATTCAAATTTAAAGAAAGCACTCAGTAATGGTTACGCATAAAGAATATGCATAAAGTTAAAAAAACAAATTATTATGGCCTTTCTTAGCCTCCGTACACACCTTTTTCTACTAACATACTTTTAATTTTTCTACTGTCAGTGGTCTGTTACTATATTTCATAACTGCAACACACTTGTATAAGCTCCATACACTGTCACTCCAAGAAAAAAACCCTACTATTGAAATCTAAGTGCAGGTTAGTTTCTATTTAAATGGGAGATTTTAAAGGTAATAATGTTCCTCCTCCCCGGTGGCGAGGCTTACCTGTCCAGCGGCCTGCCCCGAGCCATCAGCACAGACAAACTGCACAAATTCCTTCAGGGGGTCTTGTCCAGGGTGGTGGTGGTAGCGGATGGTTGGGTGGGTGAAGTAGGGGCTAGACTGCTGGATGATGGAGGGAGACGGGAAGTGCAGGGCCGAGGCTGAAGCACGGGGACTCCCTGCGAACAGAGACGCTTGTATTAGAGGAACACACGAAGAGAAAGACGCGAAGAGCGAGAGGAAGTCATTGAAAGACATTGAAAATTCCTACTCATTCTTACAGATGGGAGAGATGGATGAAGTCATTAATGAATGACAGCAAAAGTATCACATCAGAACTGGAAGCGATAAAAGTTCAAATCTGGTTTTAAAATGTCGGACGCGAAAGGAATGTTGTTTTTCCAAGAAAAGCTGATTTCAAGTTAATGGCTATTATGTGCATTGCTCATAATGTTTTATGATCACTCCAGGAAGTCTATACAGCTTTCACACACGTTGCATTCATATGTGCGTTCACACGCAGAGACTACCTAACTGTTTGAGTCAGCACCATTCAGACTTGAAACGACCTGAAAGTGCACAAATACAATAGATACTGATGCTACATTTTGAAATCAGATCCAAAGAGCTTGCAAAAAGAAAAAGCACAAAGTGATCATTGAGAAGTGTCTTAAATTAGCTGGTCTTAATGCCTGCATGCCTGTGTGCTGTCTTGAGGGTGTGATTCATTGCCGTTGACACAGTTTGGCATTCGGATGGTAAAGCTGTTTTTTATCCGACACATTTTTGTTTCTATGACAGAACTAATCTGTACATGTACATCGTATGTCTAAGTTGATGCTTCTCTCTTAATGGGCTCCGGAGCCTCATATCCCCAGATATACATGTGTGTGTATATGTGTGTCTGTGTCTGTGTCTGTGTCTGTGTGTGTGTGTGTGTGTGTGTGTGTGTGTGTGTGTGTGTGTGTGTGTGTGTGTGTGTGTGTCTGTGTGTGTGTGTGCGCGTGCGCGACAGGTTTGGAGAGAATACCAGACGTTAAGTATTTGAATGATTACACAGTTTTTTGTTCCTCGGGCTCTCTGCTCCAGCAATTTGAAATAAAGTAATGGATACTACATTACTGTGCCAAGTCTCAACTTTAATTTGTGTAGGTTTACATCAATACTGTGTGGGAGATATGTCCCTAATATAGAAGCACAGAACCTGAAGGACAAAAAAAAATGTGTAACTGTCCAAATACTTATGGTCTAGACTGCATGTGTGAGGTGTGAGTGCGGAGCAGTTGGTTGCGCCCAATCACCAAACACAAAGCCTTCTCTGTCAGACCTATATCCATTACTAAATCTCCTTGATTTGTATTAGAGGCCTGTTCTCCTTTTAGCTGTGCCAGTTTGACACCCACCCCATTCCCATCCAGGCCCCCCAGCTGCCCACGTTGGGCTGCCAACACTCTTTAGTGCTCGCATCTTATACATTGTGTGTGTGAGTGTACTTCATGAGAGTGCCAACCCCGCTGCATTACCCCCCAGACAGAGGCCTGCGCCTCTGAGCGCAGCAACACCTTGCTCCCATGCCAGGCTGCCTGCTCCCCAGTGGAGCTGTCTCCCTGCTCCTATAGCCCCCCCTGCTAATCCCATTAGAGACTGGGTGAAGGCCAAAGGGTATGGGGGCGGGTTTTACGATGGGATGGGGTGGTGGGGAGACAGGATCAGGGGAATCCTTACACCCCCCACAGCTCTGTCAGATGAACTTAAGAACCCCGTCATTGATACCCCCCCTCGTGTTCCAGATGTCTTCATTTTCATTGATTATAAACTGGATGTTATTCAACACTATTGGTTATAAAAATGGTTGTAAACCATTTTTTATACTATTGAACTATCAGGCCCGATCCCAACACCCCCCCCCCCCCCAACAACAGACGCACAGATTTTGAGGCGTGTTCCCAGTAAGTCTGTAAAGGCTTAGGACTGTCCCACTGTCAAACCATGGAGGGCATGAGGGCTCTCACAGACATTTTGAGCCCTTTCTGTAAGGCCCCATTTCTGCAGACTGAATTACCCAAAGTCCATAGCGCTGTGACATAAAAACACGGGGTTACCGTGGTTACCAATGGTTAACAAACGAGCATGAAAGGAACGAACCCTAACGTTAGTAGGACAAGAAGAAAGACAGTGAGTGACAGTATAAACACAGAGCTCAGTGGTGATTCAGAGCCAGAGCTGTGTGTAGTTATCTGTCCTACGATGACATGATGATAAATTCCAAATCTGCTTTCATCAGATCTGATCCAACGTTATTATTTTGTTTACAAACAGGGAGCGAAGGAAGGGAATAAAAAAAATGTAAAATCAAAAGTCCCAAACCCACAATTGTACGCAACACGTTTTACATAATATGTCCCAAAGTGCTGTCCCATTCCTCTTCACACCATTCTGAGCCCTTGAAAACTCAAACAAATAAGTCTGTGAGGGATCAGGACTCAGGCCTTAGTGGGGGAATTAGCTATTTCAAACATTTATCCATTACCATTAGTAAAGTCTTACTTTTAGCTTTATCACCATTTAACTTTTCCAACTACTTTTCCATTACTTTAGCTATTTCAACCATTCATCCACTACCATTATCTTTTATAACATTCATCCATTAACATAAACTAATCATTTCAACTGTTTATCCGTTCTTTTGTTTACCATTTATATACATCACATTTATTTAATTATTTGAACTGTTTGTTCATAACTTTTAGCTGTTTATTACATCCATGTATCCAAAACTTTTAGTGTTTATATAATGTATAATGTAAAAGTGTTCAAACTTTTGAGTGTGTTTTCTTGTCTAGTCTATAATAATAATAATAAAATAATAATGATAATAATTCCCCCCGGCATCTGCACTAGTACTCCTCGGGGCCCTAACACCCCTGGTTGGGAATCACTGCTGTAGAGGACGGCTGAATGTGGCTGGAGGGACAAATTCACCAAAACCACCTCCCTGCACCACCACTACCACCACCACTGCGAGCGGCTGTAGTGCCAGCACGCCTCATGATCCCACTTCTCCAAACCCTAAATCCCCATGGATCTTGTCTTCCACACAGAACAACAACAACGCTGATGATGTGGTAAGCACTTTCACGCCAGCGTGGGAGCAGCTCCAGCACGCGCGCTGTTACGGTTTGTGTAAAAAGAAACAAATCACAACTGTATGAATCACAACTGCTGGCCACAATAAGGACGGGATACAGTGTATGTGTGTACATGTTAGTGTGAATATGTATACGTGCATGTGTGTGTGCAGATTTGATTTGCTGTAGCTACATCTAAAGAGGCATAGGGTCTTGTCAACAACCACGGAGGAGGGTTTAATGACACGGCGGTCAACCTCATTGCTTCACATCTGCTCGGTGGCTTAAAAAGTCTTTGATGTCGCCTAGATACAGAACTAAAGCACATGGGTAATTATCTCCAGTGAACTCCTTCACTGGATGAATTCACACATGTGCACTTTCCAAAAAGAGGAGGACGTCTTGATCTGTGTTGTGGTGATAAAATTAAGAGGGTGGTGATTTATTGTCGGAGCCCCTTTGGTTGTGTTTGATATCTGACGTTATCATGAGCTGCCTGTTTCAGCCTTGTGGAGGATCAGCTGCTCAGCACACAGAAACTCAAGACTCACAGAGTCTAATTTATTGCCTTGTCAGTATGAATACAGACGTGTTCACCACAAAGGGGTCAAATTGGAGTTCTCTCATTGTAAAGAAAGCAAGTCAATAATAATTTGGAAAGAAGAAGTAAAAAACAAATGGAAAGATACAGAACAAAAGAGCAAAAATGAGCTGTTGGGGTACTATTAACCCCCCGAATGAAATGCGTACAGTATTCCTCTTCTGCAATAACACTGCACGTGGCTCTAGATTAAACACAAATTAATTTAGGAATATGCACCGTGTCAGCGCGTTATCAGATTCAGCTCAGGGCCTCAGGACCCACTTTAAAGGGGCACTGAACCAATTTCACACATGAAGTTTGTGTCACTCGTCACGGGGAGGACTACTCAGTTATACAATGTCTCCTGTGGTTCTGGAGGACGCGCTCCGAAAGCATTACCGCAGTGATGTCACAGTGATGTCATCAGGGTCATCTTGGTCTGGGCTTGAAACTTTTGACAGAAAGCCTGTATGAACTTTAGGCTTTTTAACTTTTGGTGGGTGGGGAGGGTCTAATGAAAAATTGCATCATGGGAAATATAGGTGTTTCTGGAGCTTCAAAAATACTAAGGACTAAAAGTCAGGATATGTCGCCATCTACTCTTTTGATTTTTATTGTTTGTTTGTTTTATTATCTTGTGAGTACCCCCCCAACCCAAATTGCAACACAACTTTATCACTGGAGTACTCTTTAAGGCGCATTTAAGCTGATATTTACTTTTGTGAATGTTTCCAAACAAAATTGCAACTCTTGCTTTTGGGGTCCCCAGAAATCTGGCGTCCTGGGCAGTTTCTAAACAGGCCTTGTAAAAAGCCATGAAATTTGTTTTACTTTAAATTGTAAGAGTAGAATAAATAAACAAATAAATAAATCCACCTAAATTCAAAATTTAATGATAATGTTCAGTTATCACTAATTGACTTTTAACTGTCATTGGAAGATATTTACAATTTAAGGAAATAAACATAAAGTAATATTTTAACTACTTTTACTGATTATAAATAAACTGCATTTGACGCTGGTTGGTTAATAGTTATCAACACTTATTAGGTCATTTTAAAACCAGATTTAATTCTTTTTTAAAGGAATTCAAAAACCTGCTGATGGGCATGTCTGCAAACCTTTCCTGAAGCAAGTGTCTTACAACATGGCAAGACAAGCCAGGAGTCAATGGAGAAATGACACTTGATTGAAAACAGTCATGATGTTTTAAAAGTGTAATTTCCACCGTAAAGAACAAAATGCCAAAGTAAGAGAAGCCTTGCAACCATCCGACACACGTGCAAGTAGAGATGTGACAGAACAGACAGCAGCAACCACCTGATCAGTTGCTCCACTCTAAGCAGAAAATGTACGACCACCAGCCATCCACCAACAGACAGGCCCAGAAAAGTCACACACCACACCCAGACTCCCTAGAAGCTCCGTCACCAGCTTGACCTGCACCCTGCAGGGTCAGAGCAGGCAGAGGAGGAGGCAGAGGTCAGTGCACAGAAACTGCAGAGCTACCTGCCACCTTTTGATAATTCCCGGCCACTCTCATCTCCCAAGGACAACGCTCCCACTTCTGAACCACGGGTGGGGGAGGGGTGGGGCCTTGAAGAAGTGGGGGGGATTCGGGTAGGAGGAGATGGTGAGGAGGGGGAGAGGAAAGGGTTGGGGCGATCAAGGGTGGGGTGGTAAGGGGAGGTGGGGTGGGGCAGGGGGTTGGGAGCTGGGTTGGTCTCACCTGGTCTCACTCCCGCCAGCATTGGCAGTGGGTGGTGGGTGAACGCCATGCGGGGGGACCTCGTCTGGGAGGACAGGGCGCTGAAATCGAATTTCCCCGGCTTCTTAAGAGAACCAGGCGATGACAGTCCTGGCAAAAAGGGGATCAACAAAATGGCAGAACAGAGACGAGGTTTTAATCAAACATGGCTGCTTTTCTTACTTCGACTCTACTCAAAAAAAAAAAAAAAAAAAAAAAAACTTATCAGACTTTTTAATTTACAAGAATCGAATGATTATGATCGATTGAAATCAATGGATTGATCGATTGATTCATTCATTGATTTGTTTTGATTGGCTTAACATACAGATGGGTTCTCACAATCTGTCTGTCCAATACGTTATGCTTTTGTCAGCGGGCTGTACCATGTCCGTCAGATTAGGGAGTGGGAGGGTTGGGGAAGGGGTGTTGAGGACAGGGTCCGGTGAGAGGCCATGTTTTTGAAGCAGCAGGGGGTCAGAGTGAAGGGAGGTGACGGGAGAAAAGGGGGAAGGGGTAGGGGTGGGGGAGTCGGGAAGCGAGTGTCAGGAGAGAGGAGAGCTGGGGCAATGCAATGGCGGTCCAACTACGATCATCCACCGGAGTGTATGAGCAACGCAGCAATGTCCTACTCACTGCTTTGACTCACAGGACAAACCGTTGAAATCAATTCAAAGACGTCTCCGCGTTGAGACCCAAACTATCTGACTAACGCCAGAACCACAACGATCTCAGAGCCCAGCGCAGAGCTACGAGAACACAGTCAACAAACACGCCAACCAACCTACTCGCCGCGCTTGTCAGGGCTGCCTCTGCAGAATGAATGGGGATCCTGAATGTCCTCATATCTGGGGCAGACTGTGTTTTTCAAGCCAAAGCCAGCATGAGCTATGCAGCTTCATATAACTGCAGAAGAGCATGCCAAAACATACATCAATAGATCCTCTGATGTAGTGCCCTTCTGCATATCTGACTGTCAGGTATTTTATGTTACTGCCTTAAGGCATACAGTATTTCATGAAGAAGTGCTCGCACTCTCACACACATACACAAGCTGTTCAGGCTGGGTGGCGAGCACCCGGCACGCTGCCAGTGAAGGCTGGCTGAAAGATGGAAGGAGTTAAGCAGGAGAGGAGCGGTGACGGCATGGCCGACACACATAGACAAACATATTAAAGTGTCCCCCCTCTGTCTATAAATGTCGGCTGAGGCTAGAGCACGGCATGAAATATCCCTCAGTTTGGTAAAAACGGGCACACTAACTATAGGCTGGGCTCACCAGCGGACCAGAAACATGGCCAAAAGTGTGAGAGCTACAGATAAAAGAGGTTCTCTTCTGTGATCAAGGCCTCGTGTGGTGGGCACTGAGGGAATTTATTTTGATGTATGGTAATCCAAAGGCACAATTTTGACTTTCGGGGTTTGAGGAGCAGCGCCAAATGGTATATTTGACCTCTGCCGGGAACCGCAATGTTGAATATGTGCTGAAATAAAACCCTGGAAGGAGCAATCCATAAAACAGAGAATAATGAGGAAGCAGAAGTATAGAAAAGTACATCAGCGTGCACACACAGACCTCATTACTTTTCTCTGGAACATACTGAGCTCATGTTTTGTCTGCTTCAGATTTGGTTGAAAGAATACAGTGATAAACAACCCTGGCGAGCAAAAGCCCTATAAACGACTAAACGACACAATATTCACACATATAAAACAAACACACTCAAATAAAGACGTGGGTAATTTCAACATGGCCCAGAGAGATGTGGAAATAGATTTTATGAGCTGAGCATATAAAGTCTAACAGAGCAGATTTCTGAAAAGCTTTCTTTTTAATGCTACATTGGGAAATGTTTTATCACTATTTACCCACAATGCTTATAGGCAGCATGGGCGCAGCTGTGCTTGTGTGGGCACCGATAAGTATAGAAAAAAAGGTGGGCGCCTGGGTTTATGTTCAAAGAGGCACGTCATGTGACTCCACATGCAGGTGGGAGGAGCGGACACGGTAGTGCAGGGGGAGATCAATATTAATCACTGATAGAATTATGGAAAAAAATAAATAATGAAGGCTTCACACAAACAAACAAACAACAACAGAAACAACTGTTTGCCACCAAGAAAGCCAATGAGACATAGAGGAAGCCACAAGGGCAGAAGATGCTTCTGATATTTACAGGGGAGCTGGGAGATAATGTGTTTGCTATATTTTGTGTTGTCAAGTATGTTTGTAATTTCATGTGTTTTTAATGAGGACAATAACAAGCTACAGTATGTGACACACTGCAAGGTTGACAAATGATGCAATTAACTTTCTCCCAGCGATCAAGAGACAAGAAAGAGGGACTAAGAAAGCAGGGTAATATGTAGTTTTTATGTTTTATATTTGGGTTATTTCTGGCTAAAACGTCAGTGACACAGCATTGCAGATCACTGCTATTCACTTTACACTAGTAAACCAAAAAAGCTGAGCACTCTAAAACAAAAAAGCGTTCATAAAAAGTTAAAGGAAGATAAAAAAAGAGGTGTAAGACCATTTGCTACAGTCAGCAGAACATTAGCAGCGTAGGCTTGGTATCCATCTGGCAGTGATATTTTACTTCCGTGTTTGAAATGTCGCTTGGTAAAAATATTACAACCAGTTTAATTTACTGTACAGGTGGTCGACCTGCTGTCCTGAGAAAACCATGTATCTCCAGAATGGCAGCTTTTCATGAGCTGGGGAGAGCTAATCCTGTTTTCACATTTGTGGCAATGCATTTTTTTTCCTTTGGATTTTTAAATGATTTCATTGACTTAAAATGTTGAGGACTTTTGTCAGACTCAAAGTATTTAGAGATACCAGATTTGGAGATACACATTTTTCTATGGAAAGCAACAGTCAAAAGTACAAAAGTGTTCTCAGCAAATTTAATGAATTATGTATTACAGGGAATGTGCCCCTTCTGGTTATATTATTATGTATTATTTATATTATATTACTGCTGTTGATACATTATTTTAAGGGGAAACTCCACGGACTTTACACTTTACTTTCAGGAGTACTAATCCTGTGAAAAGAGTTGTGTGTCTTCTGTGATTTAGAAAGTTGGAAGACGATAACCCTGATGATGTCATACTGATGTCATCGGGGTTATCTCAGTCTCAGACTTGAGACTGGAGAAAGCTGTAATTACAAACTGAAAGGGAGGAGTATGAAAGAATTGGGCATTTAGGAGGCAAGGGAGGGGCAAGTGAATGATGCTATCTGGTTGCATTGTGGGAAATGTAGGATCCAGTGTTTCCACTGCTGCTCTGATTTTGATCCGACTCTTGCGAGTCCTTTATGGGAGTGCAATATGAAATTGCTGGAGTACCCTTTCACATAGTAACTGACTGAGATCAAGCTACTTATTCTTAATTCATATACTTTATTATAATTTGTGAATGTATATAGGCCTATATGTATATATGTAGTTGTAGGATTAAAAACTAAAATATTGCCTCTGAAATGCAGTAAAAGTAGAAGTACACAGTCGCATCAAATGGAAAGTAGAAGGACCTCATGTGTACTTAACTATTACTGAACCAAATGTATTATATATTTAGAAAGTGAATAGGTTAACTAATACAACTCTGAGGAACAGTCTGTTAAACATAGTGCCATTTTATTATCTTATGGCTGCTCTACAAATTTACATGAGGTGCTGATAGAGAGTCACAGTAAAATGCATTATTTCAACTGAAATTTGGACTCTTAGCTCGCACTGTTAAAAACAGACGCACTGAATCCCAGCATGTTGTGGATTCAATGCATCCCCATGATAAAGCCTGTTTTGGCTCCAGCTCCTCTGTGGTACATATATAGGGATGACTGTGTGCCACTACGTCCCAAGTTCAATTATAACCAGCTTATTATGCATACACAGCCTTAAATTATACATATTGTTTTTAGTCTCTGTGATATTCCCTAATTAGTCGGTATCTTGCTGAAATATCTGGTGCTATGTGGCTTCTCAGTGAGGAGCAGCAAATGAGGCCCAGATGCCCATTGAAAGCTTTGTCTGATAAAGCTAACAGAAGTTACTCTGATCTCTCCCTTATTCTGTGTGTGTGTGTGTGTGTGTGTGTGTGTGTGAGTGGGTGTGTGCATGTGAGTGAATATACACACACACACACACACACATACACATACAGAGTTGTTTGTTCTACATTATTTCTGTGTCCTGCTCCTGGCACACTGTATGAGCAGACTGGCAGCCAATTGCTCCCATGACCCTCTAGTCTTGCCACGCTAACAAGCTGGCGACCACACAAACCCCCCGACTGTCACAGAACTGGTCCACTAGCATGTGCACACGCATACACAATGAAGAGAGAGGGGGGAAAAAAAAAAGCTCACACACTCGTCATTCAGGTAGGCAAAAAACAATGTGCATTAATAGAGTTGTGTCTCTCATTAACTGACTACCTCACACATCATTAGCGCTCATAAACACTACGATAATGTGCTTCAGCAAAGCAAGGACACGTTAACAACAACGCCACCAATACACACATCACAGTTTCATGCCCAGATAATTAGCTGGAATTCGCTGTCAATATAACAAATACTTAGGAAACTCCCCATCCTTACTGAAAAGTTGATAGCGGGTTTTCCCACCACTGAGCAGCAGGAGCAAGCAGGCAGAGGGAGAGAACGGAGCAGAGCAGAGCCGGAGACAGCAGACTTAATGATGAATTACATGATCACCTGCTATGCCTCAGAGCTTTTCATTCAGGTAGAGGATCACCTCCAGAGCAGGCAGAGGCGGAGGCCCTCCCCCTTCCCTCCTCCTTCCTCCCTCCTCTCGTCCTCCACCCCTCCTCTGCTCTCCTCATCTCTCACTCCCAACACCACCACCACCATCACCAGAACAGATGTCTGCTGTAACCCAGTAGCTCCCTTCGCTGTAGACACATGGAGGCGCCATCTGGACCGGAACGCTGCTCCACTCCAGATTGGGAAGAGTGTATGTGTGCGTGTTTATGTGTGTGTGAATGTAAATCAGAGAAAGAGTGTGCATAAATTTAGTCCTGTGTGTGTGTGTGTGTGTGTGTGTGTGTGTGTGTGTGTGTGTGTGTGTGTGTGTGTGTGTGTCTGCATGCCATTTGTAAATGTGCGTGTTAGTGAGTAAGCATGTCTCGGAGACAGAAGGTGCCTTGTGCGTTGATGACACACCTGAGTGCCTTTAGTCGTGTTTGTTTGGGTCTTATGTTGTTTTTCCTGCGCTGTCTTCCAGAGACGGTTGAGTCAGGCCTACGGCAGGTGGGACACCACTCAACAGCTCCGTCTCAACAACCGGCTGGGTGAAGCAGCTAACGCTGCTACTCAACAAAACCTCATTCACACACCCCCCCCCCCCCCCCCCGTGTCTTTCATCACTTGCTTTCTCTCTCAAGGCTCGACAACAAAATTACAACACCAAAAGCACTTAGCTGAATGTTGTTGACAAATTCACACCGCCTTGGAGACTCAGAACAATGTGGTTTTTAGACATGATAATACACATAATTACACATTTAAAATATAGCCAGACAGTGTGTATCAGTACAAGAGTATTGAGGATGTTTTGAATGCACTAGGGATGTCTTTATCCTCCTAAATGTCTGATTTCTTTCACAGATTTACAACAACATCTTTGAGGCAGACAGGCGGTGTATGTTATGGAGCTACTGGGCTACCAAAAGGCTTTGGTAAACCCACAATGGACAACAGCAGACATCTGGTAGAAACACAACCCCACCCAGCGGCAGCATAGCCAGAGAACAAGACACAAGAGAGGAGAGGAGAGAAGAGGAGAGGAGAGGAGAGAAGAGGAGAGGAGAGGAAAGAAGAGAAGAGAAGAGAAGAGAAGAGAAGAGAAGAGAAGAGAAGAGAAGAGAAGAGAAGAGAGAAATGGAAAATGCAGAACAGCTCAGAGAGCTCACAGGAAGTGCAAACAGACTTGAATAGAAAGACAGAGAGAGAGATGTACATAAGTTGAGGGTGGTGTGAGCGGAAGTAGAGCATGTATACATGTATACACAGTATAATGTTTAATGTTGTTCTAACCATGGTAAGGAAACTGCACTCCATCGCTCTCATGCTTAATCTTCCTCTCCTGCACACTGGCCAAATGGTGCTGCACTGAAAGGCCAAACAGGGGAGAAGGGAAGAGTTAACAATGGAAGAGGGGAGGAGAGAAAAAGACAGACAGAGAAAGAGATGGAAAGAATGAGAGAGAGAGAGAGAGAGAGAGAGAGAGCGAGAGAGAGAGAGAGAGAGAAAAAGAGGGGTGGTTAGATAATGGGCAATAGGGGATTTTAATGTTAAGAGAGTGCAGCAAGTGTCTATTAAATAGTTACATCATTACTGCTGGCAGTATTAAAATGGCAGCATGTGAGTGGGAGTGACGGTTATAAATTAGTAATTTAACAGAATCCCCAAAGTCAAATACAACACCCAAGAGACATACATGAAGTCTATTGTAAATACATTTGACGTGATATTCATCATGGTGGTTAAAAGTGCTGTAAGCCAAAGGGTGAATGGTTATGATGTAAGAAATAAATGGGTGGTCACACTGGTGCTGCTCTCCTGCATTAGTCAAGAAGACAACACAGACGGATGAGGTAAAACTCTGAGGGCGTCTAACGCAAATAAGGTAAAAGGAATAATAAGACATTTTAGAAAATGTGCTTTTTAAAGCTTTCTTGCTGAGAGTTTGATGAGAACATTGATACTACCCTCATGTCTGAAAAATGTGTAGCTTCAGCTGCAAAGATTGCTGCTAGCAGCTAGCTAGCTTTACTCTATCTGACGGTGACTAAACCTCCTGATCAGCACCTCTATAACTCACTAATTAACATGTTACGTCTTCTTAATTTAATCTGTACAAAAACCAAAGTGTTAAATGACTAATGCAATGCATTACGGCTGGAGCCGGAAGCCAGTTAGTTTAGTTTAGCTCAAAGCTGCAAAGTATAGTCAACATGTTATATCTTGTTTGTTTTATCCACACAAAAAGTAGGCCTAAAAATCGAGTAGTAGTAACAGTAGTAGTTTTAAGCTAGTTGTATTTTTAAGATAGCTGTTTCCCCCTCCTTCCAGCCTTTGACCTAAGATAACTGTTAGCTAACTGTAGCTTCTTTTTTACTGTACAGACACAAGAGTGGTATTAATTTTCCCATGTAACTCTCAACAAGAAAGCAAATGAGCTCCTTTTCACAAAATGTCTAATGTCTATTCCGAAAATATCATGTGGTGAGGAACATTTAAAGATACTATTACACTACTCTGCCATTTTTTTTTTCTTTCTTTATGGCTTTACTCAGAAAGTTAGTGAAAATCTAATCAAAAAATAAAACACAGAAGGGGACATTTGTACAAACGACAGTCTGTGTAGCTTTTGAGAGTTTTTCTGTCTAATGTTATACACATGTGGCTATGACAATCTCAGACATCACACACACACACACAGACACACACACAAACACACACAGATATACACACACATTCCTAGAGTTAAGCTCAATGAACGGTAGCACTAACACCATTGGAGCTAACTGAACAAACTATATGCATCTCTGCCACTCCTCTCCCTGCCAACTCAGACAACAAACATAAACATAACGTAAATAGGATAAATTCAATGTACTGAGTTTGTGGTCTGATTAAAGGGTCAGTTCACCCAGAACAGAAACAACACATTTCCACACTTTGACCTAGTTATCGTGCAGTTTCTGGTTTTATTCGCTGAGGTTTTGAGATTTCGTCATTGAGAAGTCTGCCATAAGAGCAGAGGTGTGGCGCACATGTAAAAAGTTATACTGGAAAAAGTAATGTGTCATTTGAGAAATAATGTCCTGGCCACTCAGGATAATCCACAGACCTCATCAACATAGATATTTTAATTTTTTTGCGGAGTTGAAAATGATGCTCAGAAACGTGGACATTGTTTTATTAGACATTTTTTCAAATGTCATGTTTCACCACAAATGATATTTCGTTCACCTCCGTTGCTCTGGGTTGGTGGTATGAGGTTTCAGCGGGGGAAATCTCAAAACCTTTGCAAATAAAACTTGTAAATTATCTGCACAATCAAACCACTTAGAGTAACGGAGAAAACAGATTTTTATGTGTTTTGGGTAAACTGATCCTTTAAGTCCCTGCTGTGTGTGAGGAAGGATGCTATAAAATGACGTGCCTCAACCTCAGACAGGCCTGTTCTACTTGGTGGGGGTGGGGTCTTATTGGGTACCAGGTTTTAAGTGGAGTAGAAGTTGTGAATGGAAGAAGGTGAGAAAGAGAGTGGGAATGATGAGGGAGGGGTGGGGGGGGGGTCATGTGATGGGGAGAGGGGTGAACACAGCAAAGAAGCAAAGGGCTGTGTTGGTGGAAAGAGGAGATGGTGGAAGGAGGAGAGCTTTGGCTTCTGGTCCATTTCAAATCAGACATTAACACTTGAAAATATTTGTATTAAAGTCCCTGAAAACAAATGTTCTCATTGAGGTGTTCCTTTGCGCAATGGCGTCCTGCTTGAATGTTGAATAGTTTCGGTTATTTAACATGAGCGGTTCCTAGAGTTGTGTTTTTTTCTCCAGCTCTTGAGACTTCAGACTTGAAGTGGATGGGACACATACTTCTATGAACCAATCAGAATTGAGCAACGTTGAGTTAAAATCAGGGGCACGTTCAATCTGCTACAGTTTTTGCCATGTTTCCTTGAAACAGTGTGTAACAATGTAAAACGAGCTTTGAGATACATTTTCTCTCATCGGTCGGTTAAGTCAGCCAATCAGGAGCCTGCCAGAGGCGTAAATGAGCCGTGAATGTACATAACTCAAGATTAATCACTGATCCCTGTCCCCGGCATTCCTTCTCCTTTATTTTTGCTCTTAATGATTTAGTTCAAATATTTAGAATTTTCTTGAGTGAGTTTATTTCAGGGTCTGGATCCTTTTCTATTTATGATACTGCTACAGTCTATACAACAGTCTATATAATATTTATATATTAAATTCACATTGATGTTGATAATAGCAGCTTGGAAAATAGTAATAGCTTATGATTAAGCTAATTAGAGTCATTTAAGTTTAGGATGAGGAAGATCATTTATTTTAATTTTTGAAAAGCTACACAATGATGTCATTAATGTGAAAATGAATATGTGACATAATCTTAATTGACTTAAGAGCAGGCTTTGGCTAGTTATCAATGAAAACACTAGATAACGGGGATTTCCACTATTAAACTCTTATTATTCATGTTCTTATCTTTTTTTTTTTGTTTGCTAATGTTTTTAAATCTATTTTATTGTATCTCATTGTCAGCTTTCTTACTTGATTTGTCCTTTTCTCTTTAGCTTATCAGTCATCTGTGGAGCACTTTGAACTGCACTAACCTGTATGAAAAGTGCTATACAAATAAAGTTTGATCGATTCATTGATTAATAAACTCTTAATAAATAATAACTAAGGATGTATTTGGAATATTTTTAAGAAAAGTTTCTGGGAAATACACATATTTGCTTTTTTGCAGAGAGTTAGATGAGAAGCTCGGTACCACTCTTACACGTAACTGTACAATAAAGCCACAGCCAGTAGCTGGTTAGCTTACCCTAGCACAAACACAGGAAACAAGGGGCAATGTTTAGCCTTGCCCTGTCCAAAGGTAACAAAATATATCTTCTTGCACATCTAAAATTCACTAATTAAAAGATCATATCTTTTTTGTTGAATCTGTACAAAAACCGAAGTAAGTCGAAGACTCCAGGAAGTCACTGCACCCAGCCAAGAAATAGTCTGGCACATGACCCCCCCTTAAAACCACAGCATGTTGTTTTTACACTTTTGCTATTGTACAAATTTAACAAATTAGACATTAGGTGTTGATTAATGAGCTTTACAGGTGTTGGTAGACTGATTCTGTTTCCTTTGGACACAGTCAGACAAGCTGTTTCCTCCTGTTTTCAGTCTCATTGCTAAGCTAAAGCTAACCAGCTACTGCCAGTAGGTTTATATGTACTGTGCAGACATGAGAGTGGTGCTGATGTTCTCATCAAACCCTCAACAAGAAAGCAAATCAACATATTTCCCAAAATGTCAAACTACTCCTTTAATGTTAGAGATAATAAAAAAAGTTTTCAGGGGCTTTAAAATTCAATGTAAAACCAGTGCAAGCTTTAAGAAAAACACTGGAGAAGCTGCTTCTGTTGCAGCCTCCATCAAAGTACTAAATCTGTTTCATTTTTGCATCTGAATTGATGTGGACCTTGACCCAGCTTCTGGAGAGGCATCTGGAATGCGTGCAAAATCTGATGGGGAGGCTGTGGCTGGACTACCTGCATCCACATCATTAGGCCAACCACTGGACTGAGAGCTGCTTCCAGCCGCCGGGGAACGGCCTGAGTAGAAGACATCGTCCACCGGACTCTCCATCTCACTGTCGTCAATGGACTTGCGCTTGTTGGAGCTGAGAGAGAAAGAAGAGAGGAGGCAGTTTGTTTAATCCTTGAGGAAGGCGTTTGAGGGATGCCTTTTTTATTCTGTGCTTGATCGGATTGTTTCTTTTCCATTTTTCTAGAACTTGCATGTTAGCCTAGGTTTCTCAATAAAAGTGACAAGCAGCACTAATTGTTATTTGTGGCTGTAATGAATGCACACATAGCATTTTGTGGGACATGCGAGGACAAATGTGAGTGCTTATTTCCCTTGGAGTCAGGCATGCGTCTGCATGAAACCAAGCGTAACAAAAATGCTAAATGTCAAGATTTCCCTTCGATGTTTTGTTTTCATATTAGGTCTTAGCCAAGGGGGACAAAGCAGCACAACTGGAGACAGCAAGACAAACATGAAGCCAGAATTTATTCAATATGCTGTATCCATACTGGCCCAAAGTGGCGTCGCACTAGAAACCGAGCACAGAGAGTACGCATGTTGATACTGGAATGAATTCCTGAGCGTGTTTGCAGATTCTTATAGACTCATACATCTGTGACCAATAAAAAAAAAAAAAAAAAAAGGAAAAAAAAAAAAGGGGGGGGGGGGGGGGTTGTGAATGTACACTGATCCAAAATGTTTAAATATGTGTGTGGTTGTGTGCATATCTGTGTGACAGCATGCGTGTGTGGCTTTTGTGCGAGTGTGATGCAGGGTTCTGTGTTACATTAGTATCAGGGGAGATATTCTGTAATGAGTGTAACTACCTCCGTGGGAGACTTGCATAAAGCTCCATTTCAGTCCTGCAGCGTAAGATGAGTGGGGGAGGACGACAGAGGGAGCGAGGGGAGAAAAACAGAGACAAAAGACACAAACACAGACAGTGTGACAGACAGATCGGTGGGGAAAGTGAGAGGGAGTGAGATGGATTAGCAGTGAAGAAGGAGAAAAGGGGGGAGAAAAGGGGAGAGAAAGACCACTATCAAAAAGCAGAGTAAGTTAAGCATCAAGACTTCAGAGGTTAGAGAATTAAGAAAATGAACAATATTAGTACAGAAAAACTACATTTTGAGCGTCATGGGTGTTAGGTGTGTTTGCATGTGTGTTTTTGTGTGTGTATGTGTGTGTGTGTGTGTGTGTGTACCTGGTGGAAGGGGTGGAGGTGATGGAGCGCCGTCCCAGGGTCACCTGGTTGATGTTGTAGTATCCAGGGCTGTCCAGGTCGGCCAGGGAGAAGTTGGGGCCGGTCGCTGTAGCCACCGGGGCTGAGGAATGCACGCACAGACACACACACGTGCACACACACACACACACACACACACACACATTACAGAGAAGAATATCAGAAAATCTGCAGCTACATATTATAAATGATCACAACTTTACTTCCTGAAAGGATAAGGCTGGTGCTGTTATATCATTCCTCATCTTTAGCTTGGTTCTGTAGTTCACATTCTCTCATTATGAGAGTAAGGTTACTCCAAGGAAAAGCATAGAAGCTTTGTTCTGGTTTGAAGCTTTCGGTTTTACTTCAAAACTATCATCAGGCGCAGTTTGATGTCCTGGTATTTATGAGCTGTTGTTTCCTGACACCAGACTGCTCCTGATGATGGTTTTAAAGCAAAACTAAAAGCTTGGGCCTGGAACAATAGCTCTTTCCTTTTATGGAGTAACCTTACACTTATACATGTGTGTGCGTAAAACATCAGTTGGATCTTCTTCCATCACTAAATACTTTCTGACTTCCCCAGCCTGCCTGTCTGTACTCCACTGAGCCCCAATCCCAACAGATCCTTCTAAAGACATCAAACTTTAAGAACTGGTTGTAAAAAAAAAAAATACATTGTGGTTCTCAGCAAACATTATTCAAACAGGAGTAAATTGTACATATTTGGAAGATTATTTCCAACTGCGGATTAAAACACATTTGGTGCTCTAGTGAGTGTTTATGTGGGATTGGGTCAAAATAAACTACAGTGTGTGTGTTCATGGCAACAAAGGGACAATGGAGTGATGTGTTTTTAATAGTGTTACACAACAATGAAGGAATAAACTATATCTGGGTTTAGATACACAGACAATAATAGGATGAAATCATTGTTGTTGATAAGAAGAATGTAGAATATCACCAGCCTTATAGTTTGAATTGTAAAATTCAAACTATAAGGCCCAAAAAAGATGATACTTGGAGCATGAGGGATGCTAATAATTCTGCTATTGAAGGCGTTGTAACAAAGTGACTGTATGAAGTGTACTAGGAATGACAGGGAGAGCGTGTTGTCCAGATATTGACGGGACAAATTACAGCGGTGACTCACTCTGTGACACGCGGACCAGCTCGGCTACGTTCCACACCCCTGAAGTCACAAAGCAGTCCTGGAAACTCAAGTGGCCTGGGTAAAAGAGGGGGAGAAAGAAAAGTGTGTGAGAGCAGGACCGCAGGCTAGATGCAAACACCAAACGTGCGTGAAATTACAGGCGCACACAGACACACACACATAACAGGCAATCATCCGCGTACACACACACACACACACACACACATACACACATATGCAGAGGGAGCTGAAAAACATATGTATGGCAAAGCCCGACACACTGCCAGTGTCATCCAGTGGAACCATGTGTTTTCTATAAGATACAACAGGCCCTCGGTTTGAACATGTTCATTTTGTTCACAACATACACAACCAATCAGGTTCAACAAGGGAGTTTAATCACCACACAGACCGTTATATAATGTACAATATATTGTGAATAATGAACCTCATGTATATATCGTGCACACGCAAATCAAAGTGTAACGGTGCATAATAACTAGTATTTGAGCAGTGATGCAAACACACATCCTTCTGCTTCCATCCTTATAAGCACCTTCCTTTGAGTCCATTGATAGAGTAACCTGAACCTTAAAAGGAAAAAATCTGTTTTCTTACTACGTGGGTGTTGGCTTCACATCTTTGATGACAGAGGCGGATCGCACTCAATGACAAGAAACAACTTCACATTCCTTCTCTCTTGTTCCAGCGCGGGATGTTCATTGTTATGTATCTGATTGCTTTGCCAGGTGCAATACTAATAATTACCTTAAAGAGAATCGCCTGTGTGTTTGCTCTTTAAAAGGCAGCTATACTGCACGATTGTGACGCTGATGAAAGCCAGATGGCAGAAAACGTTTTTCTATTGTAAACAAAGTGATTTCATTGAGTGCGAGCCTCCTCTGTCACGATAAGGATAAGGCACCAATCCCTCCGAGAGCTGTGGAAACTCTACATCTGAGATTTCACATCTCTGGCCCTCGACTCTATCTCTTATGATTACACTGTATTCACCATGGTCACTGCAGAGATTGCTGGGAACGTGGCGACATTGCTACGACAAGGTTGCTGTATTTGCTGCAGGAAACACGAGACAATAAGACGTGTTGTAAAGAAGCTAACAGGTTTAGCTGGATAAGCTAAACCACTTTGTGTGGAGGTGAAGCCCCAGAAACCCCCACAAACTGTGATGGATGTTTACAATGGGAAATCTTTGAAACTGAGGCTTCTCTGTGTGCAGCCACTTGCTAAGGTCTGCATGTGAGGCGTTCAGGGAACTGGTAAATTATAGTATCTACCAATAGCCTGCATGTGAGGTGTTTAGGGAACATAAGTGCATTATAGCTTCTACCGATACCCTGCATGTGAGGTGTTAAGAGAAGATCGGTAAACTGTAGCGTCTACCAATAGCCTTCATGTGAGGCATTTAGGGGACATCTGTAAATGGTAGCTACAGAAAATAATGTGGGTGACACTCTCCCCCTCTAAACTGCATGCACATTGGTCTCACGCCGCACCACCCACCACCGCAAGTAAACTTTCAAACCTGTGGGAAACACTGCCTGCATCATTCTAACTGTGATGCAGCTCCAATCAATATTTTCATATTAATAATGGATCACGTGACTAATTGCATGTGAAAAGAGTCACTCGTAGTGATGAACTTGCATAGAACTATCATCTGACTCTGCAGGTTCTTTCAGCTTTACAGTGTTCTAGCTTCTTTTAACTCCAGTCCCCTACTTTACTGTTTACGGCTCTCGTCAGTGTTAATCATCGTTACCATCAGGCAGTTGTTTTCAGTTTTAAAAAAAAAGAAGCTCTAATTAACATCAAACCTGCATCAAACAAGGACAGATTAAGTTAAAACTGGCTGAACATGGTGGAGAATTTAGCGGGTAAACAGCCAGTTTGTTTTCTCAGGAGTTGGTGGAGACCAAAATCAGAGCTAATGTCGCGTAAACTGGCAAATGTTTGCTAACATGTTAGCCACAACAACTTAGCTAGGTTGTAATGTGTCAGGTTTTTAGGCCCCCCCCCCCCCAAAAAAAAAGTTAAACTAAACGAGTGACACTGTACTGGTGGTGTGTGTATAAAGGATGTCCTAAGCTCCAGGGTTGAATGAATTTTAAATCCACACCCTTCCTCCCTCCTTCATTTCATCCCTCTCTCCTTCTGTCCATCACTTCTCTCCTCCCTGTTCTTTTCACCCCTTCACTCCTCTTTTTTTTTTCACTCCCTCCATTTTCCTCCTCCAGTTCTCCTTCTCTCTCTCTCTCTCTCTCCTTCACTCCATCCCTGTCCGGGGTTAACCACAGCGGGGACAGCGCATGAGGTCAGCGCTCAGCTCGGCAGCGGCCATGTGGTTCCCATCTTCCAATAACGTCAGTGTGATTTATGAGTGGCCCGCCACAATCCCAGCACAACCCCCACGCTACAGTACCATCAGCTCTCCTTACCATAATAAACTTAGACCCAACTCTGCTGGGACGCACTCACACACAGAGAGGCCTGTGTGTAGGGGTAGTGTGTATATACTGTACGTGCACATGTGTTACCGTCTGTATAGATGTGACTGCATGTACGCACAGGTATGTCAGACTGTTTTGTGCACGCTCTGTGTGGGAGGAACACAGTTGTAAACTTACCATTCGGTGGGGGCTTGACGTCTGTGTCTCCTTGCTGGTTTGAGTTGTCTGATTGTCCTGATTGTTCTGAAATAAAGAAGAAGAAAAAAAAGAGAAAGGGGAGATGGTTAGTCAGGTGGACAGATGTCTGGACACCGCTCAAGGTGAGGGGGCAGGTTAGCATCAGAGGGAACTGGATGGGAAATGGCGCCTTCTTTCATTCTTTCCACTGAGGAGAGACAGACGTGGGCCCGAGATTAAAGATGGGTGCATATTTCTGTTCAGGTTGAAGCTCAGTTGAAAGTCATAAAATGGCGAATCGCAAGGTTAATATCCTGACTTCTGGAGTCTGTCATGGTGGGAAAATCACTTTTCCAACTTACTAGAGACAGAGTCAAAGCAGAATTCAGTCTGGAGTGTCCTCTTTTTGCTTACAAACCTCTTTTCTCTCTTTCTATACCTTTCTTTCAGGGGCGCCTACCAACTCAAATGTACGTACACTATTTTAGTTAAGGACGGTATAGAGGCCCCAAGAAACCTCAGCTTCTCCACGGCTCACTTGTAAATTGAAGGGTAATTCTAAAATGTACATTCTTGGGTCGGGAGCATTGTTTAGATTGCATCTCCAATGTGTGTTTACCCCAACAAAACCACTTTTCTCTTTTTCTTTATCTTTCTTTTCAGGGGTTCAAAATCCCACACACTCACTCACACACACACACACACACACACACACACACACACACAAACAATATTTTAGTGAAGGCCTCTGACACTGCATGTTGAGTAATCTGGTCCCAAGAAAGCTGAGCTTCCTCACTGTTGACTTGTAAAACGTTCATTTCCAGGTTCTAGACATTGTTGTGTTTACTTCACTTTTCTCTCCTTCTATATCTTTCTTTCTCGGGCTCTAACATAGCCGCTATTTAAGTCAAGGCACTAGGGCAGAGTAGTGTTAGAGGTCACAAGAGACCTCGGCTTCTCCAGTGTTGACTTGTAAGTTGCGGTGTAACTTGTAAAATGCACATTTTGGGCTCTTGGTATTGTTTGGACTGCAGCTCCTGTGTGTGTTTACCTTGACATCTATAGGGGCAGGCAGGCAGAGAGCAGCCTGCTTCAGCTAGTTTTGTTTGGCCCCGCTGGCTGCCATTCTTCTTCAGATGTGTAATGCAGCCTTGTAGAGTTTTATGGTTGTATCATATATACCATTCAGTCAAAATTAGCCCCACAGCCCTGAAGCTTTAAGGCCATCCTGGGCCAAGTGTCCCTAGCCAGAGCGTGGCCCCCTTGCAGCCGGTACTAGGGCCCCCCAATCTCAACATCTTCCCAAATCAGCGTCCTAATCTTGGGTGGCATTAGTGCGCTACGTGCCAGCAAACTGCTGCACTATTCACCCCTGTCTGTGCGCTGCCAAAACCAAGAAAACAAAAAGAGACAAACAAAATCACCTCATCACTCCGGGTCAGAAAGAAGGAGGGAAAACACAGGGATAGAGTTTCTTTTTTTTCTCGCAACACTCATCCCTCATTCTGCGGGAGTGAGAGTCCATCTTCGCGTCTTTCCCCCTCACTTCCTCTCACACTCGTTCTGTCTCTGCTTCTCTTTCTCTCTCGTGCTGTCGCTCTGTGGAATCCTGGCAGCCATCTTAGCGCTTGGCAGCCATCTTAGCTTTGGCGGTACCCATGCATTCCTGCTAGCTGACGGCACACCCACACACACACACACACACACACACGCGCACACACACACACACACACAAGCGCGCGCGCTTTGCAATGCACACTCTCTCTCACACACACAGACCCAATGGTCTTAAAGATAAAAAGACCTACAGAGGATATGCAATGCTAATGGAGTGAGGATAAAACCACTGGGATGTTTGTCTGCAGTCCTGTGTGTGTGTGTGTGTGTTGTGTTGCCTGCTCTGATTAAAGAGTGTTTTAGTGTATGTGTGTATGTTAAATAAAAACGAGAGATAATCCCACATGTCAGACTCACTCACGATGTAAAAAAGACAGAAATAGTAAAATAAGGGAATTATCACGGCGACCGAGGTGATGTTGTGAGATGAGCCAGGATCCAATGAAGCCTGCGGCCTCTCTCATCGTGGCGGCGCTACCCCGGACGATCCTGACCGCACGTCTCACCACCACCAGCAAAATAAAAAAAAAAACGTTAGAAAACTGTTCAAACCTACACGCCTCTCCACTATGTGAGTTTCCAAGCCAAAAATCCAGTGCCTAGTTGTCATGACAACAGGGATGGCACACCACAGTTAAAGTCCCTAATGATGAGTGGTTGTTGAAGCCTGTGTGTGCATATGTGACGCTGTTTGGCCTAGCAATTAGTTCGAATGAAGATAATAATATAGCCCACTGGCATGGGCTCAATGTGTTGTTTTGTTTAAGTATTTCTTGGCAAGGCGCGGACCAGCGGGCGCCGTGCTACACTATAATGAGGTTGACTTTATCAGTCTTTCTGCATTTTAAGGTGTTAAATCCATTCCAGTTACTTTATTAACCGCATTTTTCAAACGCAGCTTTCATAACTTTTCCCTTTTCCTGGCAGAATGTGGACAGGAACTGATCTCTAAAAGTTATTAGAGGTATTATGCTTGGCTCCTCTCTACCAGACTGATCTTTATGTAACTGGAGATTATAAAAGGTGGACGTGAGCATATACTATGTGAGATGTAACGTGATAAAGCTCAAGACAGTTATTTTAATAGACTGATTCCGGCCAGTTACACAGATGATCTTATCAATAATTGCACGCTGCCATTAAAGCCAAACGATAATAAACTACAACTCCGGTTCCAAACCTTTTCAGCTGGTGGAAGAGGAAACAGTGTCTGACTGTGACTCTTCTCGACTGAAACAATTGTTTCATGTGAAGGATTAAAATAGCGGAGAGGTGACCCCTCAGAGTTCCCGCACTACAACAAGTTTTTAACCTGTAACAATTAATTTTTTTGGTCAAAGAAGACAAGCTTTGTTGTGGCTAACGTGTTAGCAAACATCTGTCTATGTCAACATCCTGTGGCTAAAACTAACATTATCACAATTATTCGTAGTCGTTTTTCAGCTACCTGACAGATGTAAGTGCACTATTCACTCTCCTGTCGGTCGTCTCGCTGCTCCAGAGGAAAAAATGCTCCGCTGTGTTCACCAGCTGGTTGCTAACTCTGTTTTTCTGCTGTTTGATGCTACGCAGGTAGTGTAGAGTGGAGTTTGTGGAGCTTTTTCATTGACAACAGCTGCTCGTTGGCTGAAAACAGAGCTGAGGAGAACGGTGAGAGAGAACCAAAGCCGAAACAATGAGCTGCAAGACGCTAAAACGTTTCACAGAGCTATGATCGACCTTTTACAGGTTTACAGCTGCACCTTCCCTCTTGGGTTCGTTGTGACATTTATTTTCAGACACTTCCAAACTTTCCTTTTTTTTTTTTTGCTAATGTGACATGTTTATTTAAAGGTAGCATTAGTGATGAGGGAATGAAATACAGATGGTGTTAAAGTTACTGAGAGGCTCTCGTCGAGTGACTGCAGGTGTTTCTCCGCTGTGGGACGATTGCACCCCCTTGAATAATGAAACATGGGTCTCCAGTCTTGCAGGGAACCTCGCTGTGTGTCCCATCACTGTTTTATCCCCTCACCCTCTTATTGTCCATTCTGTCCGCATTTCCCTTTGCTCGGTTTCCACTACACCCGGACGAGTAAATATAAAGATATTTAAGATATTTCTCCTCTATGCTCATTTTGTAAACCTGTTATGAAATGATCAGTTGGTCACACGTGTCTTTGTTAATATTTTGTTGCTTTAGCAAATTAATCTTTTCATTTTCTCTGATTATATTGACAATAATGTTTGATGACTGCAGCAAACTAGGGAAATACCATCTTCATAAACGATGGACAACAGTGTTCTCACTTTCAGACTTTCAGACTCTGCTTCTGTTCCGGAAAACATTACGAAACATATTTGTTATGTTGTCAACGCTTTGTTTTATCTCATTCGAAATCAATTTGTTCATTCTTTGAAGATTGTATTCATGTGTATGTCGTTCCCACGTTCTGCTTATTCCAATAAAGTAATAAAAAATGTGGGAACTCAGGAAGTCTGCCACGACCTCCTCAGTGAGTTTGGCACTGACTCCGTGCATGTATCTACAATATCTATGTGTGTGTATCTGTATATGTTATATATGAAATTGCTTTCATTCCACATGCACGTGTGTACATGTTTTTAATGCTTGGCACAGTTACAAGCACTCATGTAAATACACAGTATACTGCATATTGTGTGTGTCCACAATAAGTGCCCATAGGTGCCTGTACAGGAATAATGTGAGTCTGTGTGGGGAGGGTGGTGGCGGTGGTGGTGGGCTGCATCAAAAGAAGGAGAGATGCTCTCATTGTGAACAATAGACAGGCTGTGTATTATTATTATTTTTGTTATTATCATCCCTCTGCTCCTGCTGATGCTCTGTAGACCACCGGCAGGGAGAAATCACTGCCAGCAGGCCACTCATCCCCACAGAGCCCTGTGTGCACGCCCACACCTACAACACACACACACACACACACACACACACTGCGGTATATGGAACCATATTTATTAGTGTGTTGGTTCAAATGCCTGCACGTGCACACGCCAAACATGGATACACATGCTTCCAAAGCATAAACATGCTCTTACGCACACACAAACACACAAACACACACGTTTAAACACAGATGAATCACCCTTATCTCCTGCGCACAGTCGCCCCAAGGCCCCCTGCACACGCCCCGCCTGAGATAATAGAGCACAGGCACACACAGGCCATCAAATATACCATGCCATCGCTCTAATCAGACACACACACGCACACACACACACTCACACACACGGACGTACACAGACAGAGTGAGTTCATTTGGTTGCTTGGTCAGTATACAGTGGCTGCTGATAGACTCCTGCAGTGTGTACACAGAAGTTAACACTGGTTATACATTTGTCACACTGCAGATGCAGACAGAGGCTAATAACTCACATCCAGGCTAATGTACACACACTCAAAGTCACACTTACTTAATCACACTATT